GTGCTAATCTGCTAACAGTGCGCATCCTACAATAATAGAATGCAAGTGTGCCTTTCCCCGAAAAACATCCTTGTTCCGCTTTACACCGGGAAGACTAAATATTTCATCTCCGCCGCTTAAAGGAGGATGTCATTGACACACATACATGGCCTTGGCTTTGACACAGACACAGAGAAAGCAGAGCGGGGACAGAAAGGGGCAGAGGAAGAGGAGGTGGTGTGTAATTGAGGGTTTGTTGGTGTGTTATCAGTGGTCAGTCCGGTGAACATCCCAGAACATTCCCTCGCCGGAAAACAAAAAAAAAAAAACGGATGCTTTTTATTGCTTTGACAATAATGATTCCTGTCTGTTGCGCGCGCGAGAGTGTGTAGTCGCACCAGCCAGGAGCTATTTTTTGCAGCCATTAAATTCTGGAAGGTAAAAATAGCCCGAGTGTGGCAAAATGGAGGGAAGCCCAGGAGAATAAGAGGGAAGGGATGGATTTACAGCAAGAGAGAGAGAGTGGTGGGGGGTAATGGAGGCTGGGTTGGGGAAGGGGAGGAGGATGGAAGAGTATTAAAACCACTTTACATTGAGGAGAAGGAAGGGAATAGAAAAACAAGAGATTATTACAACATGTGAGGAGGTGATGACTTAAAGGAACAGTTCACCTCAAATAAAAATGTATATATATATATATATATATATATATATATATATATATATATATATATGGTGCTCAGTATAAAGGAGTATAAAGGAATATTTTTTTCCATTTCTTAGTGAATGTAGGTAATAAACTTACCGGCCACTTTATTAGGTACACCTTACTAGTACCGGATTGGACCCACTTTTGCTTTCAGAGCTGTCTTAATCCTTCCTGGCATAGATTCAACAAGATACTGGAAATATTCCTCAGAGATATTGGTCCATGTTGAGATGATAGCATCACGCATTTGCTGTAGATTTGTCGGCTGCACATCCATGATGTGTTCCACCACATCCCAAAGGTGCTCTATTGGATTGAGTTCAGGTGATTGTGGAGGCCATTTGAGGACAGTGAACTCATTGTCATGTTCAAGAAACCAGTCTGGCCTCTGGCATTAAAGAATTTGTGCCCACAGAACTGCGGCTCACTGGATATTTTCTCTTTTTCAGACAATTTTTTGTAAACCTTAGAGATGGTTGTGCGTGAAAATCCTAGTAGATCAGCAGTTTCTGAATTACTCAGACCAGCCCGTCTGGCACCTTTTACCTTTCTTCCCCATTCTGATGCTCGGTTTGAACTGCAGCAGATTGTCTTGTCCATGTCAACATGCCTAAATGCATTGAGTTGCTGCCATGTGATTGGCAAATTAGAAATTTGCATTAACAAGCAGTTGATAGGTGTACCTAATAAAGTGGCCGGTGAGTGTATATTTTGGTGCTTTTGAACAAAACAGATTTATTGAACGGATATATTTATTAAAGTAACATTTTAGTCACCGAACACCTTTTAAATTCGAAAGATAAAACATTTAAATCTAAGTGAAATGTTGCAAAAAACAAATAAAAATGGCAAACTACAAAATTTGAATTAAATTGCATATATTTTTTGTTTCTCTTGTTTTATCATATAACATATAAATTTGCGCTATATATTTTTTTGAATAGCTATCGTAAGTTATTTAGTTAAATTAGCTCCAGATTTGGCTTCAGTAATGACTAATCTAATGTATTTGCACGAATAAAGCATCTTATAGAAAATATTCATTTATAAGCAATATATTTATGCAAATATGAAACATATTGAAAAAAATCCCCATTTAATAAATAATTCCTTGCACATTTTCATTGTGTGTAACAATTTGACACACTGGTCATATGTAGTTGATGAATTAATGTACAAATAAATAGTTACATAATATTATATTTAAATTTCAGACATTTATATGCAGGTAGGAAATATGAGGCGTATGTTTTCCCCCCAAATATTTATGTTTTTTGCATTATTTGCTTTTATATTTTTCTTTTAAGATAATCTTGTCAGTAAATATTATTAATTGTTACTCCTGTGGTCAGTAAATAGTGTTAATATTATTATTATTATTATTATTCAGTCATTTTCCTTTGGCTTAGTCCCTTATTTATAACAGGTCGCCACAGTGGAATGAACCACCAACTATTCCAGCATATTTTTTACGCAGTGGATGACCTTCCAGCTGCAACCCATCACTGGGATACACCCATTCGCACTCATTTACTCTCATACACTACGGCCAATTTAGTTCATCGGATTCACCCATAGTGCATGTGTTTGGACTTTGGGGAAAACCAGAACACCCGGAGGAAACTCCACACAGAAATCCCAACTGATCCAGTCAGGACTCGAACCAGCAACCTTCTTGCTGTGAGGCCATAGTGCTAACCACTGATTCAACTATTATTTCTTTATTATATTATTGTGTTTTTTAATTGGCTGCGGAAGAAACCATTTTGTCGCCCAATTACTTGCCTAATTAACCTAGTTGAATTGCACTGAATACTAGTATCTTGAAAAATGTCTAGTAAGATATTGTACTGTCACCATGACAAAGACCAAAGAAACTAGTTATTAGAAATGAGTTAAAATTAATATGTTTAAATATGTATTGGAAAAAAAACACTTCAAACAGCGCTAGTTATATATGTGCCTGCCTCCTGAACCCCATAAGAAGTTTGATATGAACTGTTCCCTTCAGATCAGGAGGGAGAGAAGAAGCTTTGAAAAGAATCTGTTTAAGCGGACTTTAATAGCAGGATATTAGAGCGAGGTTCAGCCTCAGAGATGAGGGGATTTGTAAAGAGAGCCAGAAATGAAGAATGTAAGGAAGAGGAGAGGAGACAGAGGGTGAGCGGTGACCCAGAAACTGACACCTCACACACACACACACACACACACGGTGCACTCTCAAATAGAAACAATTAGTCCAGATCTCTCTAACGGCCCTCAATTAAGCCTGAAGAGAGAAAAAGAGGAGGATGAAAACAGCATCGAACACGAAAGAGAGAGAGAGACAGGTGCGCACAGACAGTGTGTTGAGTGAAGACGACAGCAAATCAATGCTTGTGTGCCGGAGAATGTGTGTGTGAGTGTTTACAGGCCTGTTTACGGCTTTAATCGCTACAGGAATGACTGGAGAATTTGTGTTTGAAGTTTAAAATGCTTTTCAAATAGTTTGCACTGTCACCTCACAGCAAGGTTTGAGTCCCGGCGGGGTCAGTTGGCATTTCTGTGTGGAGTTTGCATGTTCTCCAAGTGTTGGCGTGGGTTTCCTCCGGGTGCTCCGGTTTCCCCCACAGTCCAAACACATGCGCTGGGGAAATTGAATAAGCTAAATTGGCCATAGTGTATGTGTTTGAATGCAAGAGTGTATGGGTGTTTCCTAGTACTGGGTTGCAGCTGGGCATCCGCTGTGTTAAACATATGCTGGATAAATTGGCTGTTCATTTCACAGTGGCAACTCCTGATGAATAAAGTTGTTTTCTTAAATATTTTAAAGAACATTTCAGCATTTTTTAAAATTATGATGTCATAAAATTGGCATTAAAATATGCGAATGCAGCTACTGAGATGTAGCCAAAAACCACCTTTAAACTGCTGTCGAAGCCTGGATGAAATCTAAATTTACAATGTTTATAATGCTAGCCCACATTATTAGTCTTAATGTGAAAAGTATTTTGGTCATCTTTAATGAAAATCTACTCAGGAATGACATAATTTCTTTCTGATGATGTCAGTTTGACTGATTGGATGACAAATTATTAGCCACGCCCCTCAAACCATTAGTTTTCTGCTAGAGAAAAAATGAGAGGAGGAACTTAAAAAATGAAGCCCCGCCCCCTACTCATTTACTTTCAGTTAGAAATATGTCATCATACTAAAGTAAAGGTGTACAGCAACTTTCAGTTCACGCTGACTTCAAGTAAGGGATAAAGTACACCCAGGAGGTTTCTATGGCAGAATAATTATTAGCAGAAGCACTGTTGTATAAGATTCAAGGGCTCTATTCTGTGAAAACAATCATCCTGGATGTACTTTATCCAATCGGTAACATCCCGCTCTTCCTCGTGAAACCAATACGGAAGTAACTGAAACTGCAATTCATCAAAAGGCTCCAAAATAGAGCACATTTCTACTGACTTTAATGTTAACATGGGCAAGTTTACAGCAGTAAAAAAGGTGTTTACGGCCTGGTAAAAAAAAACTATTTTGGTGTATATAGCTAATATTACCCGTTCGTGACAACTGTGAGGGGGGTGAACTTTTTTTTTAATAACTGATCTGTTTCATTTACATTAAGTCTGCAGTATTAAGGGCCAGATCTTGCAATTCCAGAAGATTATATATGTCGTACGTAATGGCGATGGTTGGCCCTGCCCATTTGTAGCTTCATTTGCAGTCTTCAGAAACCTATGGGTGACATCACACACACTTTTCACATGGCTACTTGCTTCAAAACATAAAAAGTTAGACAAAAAACATTATTCTGAGCCAAACCAGCTGATGGAGTATACACTAACCTGCGCATTATTCACACACAAGATGGCACCAAACAGTCAAAAACGCGAAGATGACATAAACAAAAACAACTGATGAAATATATACTAACCTGTGCATTATTCAGACACAAGATGGCGCCAAACAGTCAAAAACATGAATGTGGATGTAAGTAATTTGAAGTTCCTGGATGATTTTGTGTTATTCGGTGGTAGTTATCTGAGAATAACAAACCTTGGAATGTTCCAACTGACCAATCAGAAGCGAGTATTCCAGACAACCATGTTATAAGATAAAAAATAGCTAGCATTTATAAAACAGAACGTGTGCAGTATTTGTGTTCTGAGGAAGGGGGCTGATATCCACAACTCAACTCAAACCCTAATAAATCCTGCTGTCTACTAACGTTTACTTCTCCTTCTGTTTCCCTCTCGACTCTTCCTCTCTGCACTTCACTTCTCTCTCTTTCTATGATTGTTTTGTGTCGCTTTTCCTGGTGAAGGGAAGGAAAAATGGTGGTTCTGTCTCTTGCGATCGGATTGGCCGAGCAGGACGACTTTGCCAATCTGCCAGACCTACAGGAAGTACCAGCCAGTCAAGAAACCCCTGAAAAGAGGTACCTGTCAGAGTGTGTGTGCATGCGAATGCTTGTGTGTGTTCAAGAGCTGGATTACACGTTTGACCAACCCACCGCTAGCGTTTGAGCGTCCGCCAGAGAGCACGGCATTGTGGGTAATGTCCAACTTTGGCCACAGGCTCTGGGGCAGCAGATACAGACACTCGCTTTCTCTTTGAAGCCGTAATGAGAGACTGGTTTCTCTCAAGATCTGCTCCAAAAATGCTAGCGAGACGTTATGCTAACGCCTGCCAATGTGGTCAGCCAAAAACTCATAAGTGACTCTTTTGTAGTGCACTTCATAGGAGGCAACATTGCTTGGCGGGAAAACCACCAAAAGAACCAAGTCGTAATTGATTACAGCCAGTTTTGATTTAGCATAATGCTAATTTTAAGATGTGTGACTCTGAATAGGGAAATAAAACACAGATTTGGGTTAAACTGGTTTATCTAGTTAGAATTCATATCAAATGATGTGAAAATGTGATTTGAAAAAGTTAATTTAATTGCTAAAGGTTTGATGTTAGCATGTAGCTAAATACAATAATCATGAGAACAGCTAATTTTGTAGTAGCATGAAGTCATGACCCACAGACTTGGGTTCAGTTGTTGTCAGTTTATCAAGTATTCATACTGAATAATGTGGAAACAATAGTGCGGTTTAAATTTGATTACAAACAGTTTAATGTTAGCAAGTAGCTAAATTGTGATAATCATAACAATAGCTAGTTTTGTAATAGCATGAATTAATTTTCCAAAAATGCTAGTGAGACATCATGCTAACAGCTGGCAAAGCGGTCAGCCAAAAACTCATAAGTGACGCTTTTGTAGTGCACTTCATAGGAGACATTTTTCCGTGGCGGGAAAACCACTAGAAGAACCAAGTAGTAATTAATTACAGCCTGTTTTGATTTTAGCATAATGCTAATTTTGAGATGTGTGACTCTGAATAGGGAAATAAAACACAGATTTGGGTTAAATTGTTGTCAGTGGGTTTATCTAGTAAGTATTCATATAAAATTATATGAAAAAGAGGTGCAGTTTGATTGCTAAAGGTTTTATGTTAGCATGTTGCTAAATACAATAATCATAAGAACAGCTAACTTTGTAGTAGCATGAAGTCATGACGCACAGGTTTGGGGTCAGTTGTTGTGTCGAGTATTAATACAATATGATGTGAAAATGTGGTGCAGTTGTCATTTGACTACTTTACATTTGATGTTAGCATGTTGCTAAATAGCAATTATCATAAGAACAGAAAGTTTTGTAGTAGCATGAAGCCTTGACGCACAGATTTGGGTTAAATTGTTGTCTGTTTATCTAGTAAGTACTCATACAAAGTAATGTGGAAGAGTGCGGTTTTATTTGCTTTCAGTTTGATGTTAGCACATAGCTAAATTGCGATAATCCTAACAACAGCTAGTTTTGTAGTGGAATTCATTTGCCAAAAATGCTATTGAGACGTAATGCTAATGGCTGCCACAGTGGTCAGCCAAAAACTCATAAGTGACTCTTTTGTAGTGCACTTTATAGAAGGCAACTTTGCGTGGGGGGAAACCACATAAAAGAAGAACCAAGTCGTAATTGATTACAGCCAGTTTTGATTTTAGCATAATGTAAATTTTAAGATGCAAGACGCACAGATTTAGGTTAAGTTGTTGTAAGTAGTAAATAACTATTATAATGGAACTTTTCAATATAAATGCTAAATTATGCTATTTAGATGCTAATAATCTAAATTAAATAGTAGATTTGTAGCTGTTTTTATGACAGTAGAACTACATGTAAAATGGGCTTTCTAATATTTTTTATATAGTGTAATGTTAGCATGTTCTCATCTTCGAAATTGTGATATTCTAATTATCACAATTAAGAAAAAAATTAATTAAACTATTTATTATTATTACTATTATTCACTGTGATGATTCATGAGACATTGTCAATGATAATAGGAATATAAAAAAATTATAATAAATATTATTAAAAAAATTTATATTATGAAAATAAATAATTAATAATAAAATTCATTCAGTTCAATTATTGATTACATATTAAAAAAAGCAAAAAACGAAATAAATTACCCAATAAAATACATTTTTTAAAAATAAAATTAAATATTTACAAAGTGTAACATACAACATTTATTTAGTTAAAATTAGCATATTTTAAAGCTTAGTAGCATGTTAGCACAAATTTAAGAATACACAGTACAAGCAAGTTTTGTGGAAAAAAACTTGTTTTTAACAAGCATAAAAAAAACATAAAAAAACATTAAAAAAACTGTTTTATATTTATCGTTTTTAATAAGCAATCATATATTTGCATATCATATATTTATTAAAATAGAACTGAAGGCAGAATTATTAGCCCCCTGAATTATTAGACCCCCTGTTTATTTCTGTTTACACATTTCTAAACATAATGGTTTTAATAACTCATCTCTAATAACTGATTTATTTTATCTTTGCCATGATGACAGTAAATAATATTTGACTCGATATTTTTCAAGACACTTCTATACAGCTTAAAGTGACATTTAAAGCCCTAACTAGATTAATTAGGTTAAATAGGCAGGTTAGGGTAATTAGGCAAGTCATTGTATAACGATGGTTTATTCTAAAGACAATCTAAAAATGAATACAGCTTAAAGGGGCTACAAATTTTGACCTTAAAATGGTGTTAAAAAATTAAAAGCTGCTTTTATTCCAGCTGAAATAAAACAAGTAAGACTTTCTCTAGAAGAAAAAATATTATCAGACATACTGTACAAATTTCCTTGCTCTGTTAAATATAATATGGGAAAAATTAAAAAAAGAAAATTAAAAAAATCAAAGGGGGCTAATAATTCAAACTTGAACTGTATATTTGCTCTATATTTCCTCCATCAGCTTGTCACAGTTTTTCTTATAAAGGATGTCATGTTCTTGATGAATGCAGTCTAGGTAGGAGTCTCGTTTGGTTGTTCGGCTGTATGTCGTTAATAAGAAATAAGCTCATTAATCATGCTAATGAGACAGGCCAGATCTCAGCCAATCAGCTGTGAGATGCTTTGTTTGGTTTTGTTTTATTGGCATCTTTATCTTGGTTTGTTGTTGTTGTTGTTTTATTTTCTGATTTGAGCGTCAGATCTTGTATCTTTGCTTTCCAGTTGAACATCTTTTAAGCTTTATAGTGCATATTTAGAATTGTGTATTGGTATTCATTCATTTAAGTTCCTTTGGCTTAGTCTCTTTATTACTCCGGGGTCGCCACAGCGGAATGAACCGCCAAACCGCCACATTCCAGTGGATGTTTTACACAGCAGATGCCCTTCCAGCTGCAACCCAGTACTGCCAAACATCCATACACACTCACGTTCACACTCATACATTTAGTTTATTCAATTCACCCATAGTGCATGTCTTAAGACTGTGGGGGAAACCGGAGCACCCGGAGGAAACCCACGTCAACACGAGGAGAACATGCAAACTCTACACAAAAACGCCAACTGTGTAACTTTTTATTCTATAGATTGATTCCTGATATAGACACTGATTAATTAGCTTGTTGTTCTCTGGATAACTGGAGGGAGATCCTCCATGGTGGTGAATGTGTTCTGCTGTGGATAATGGCAGAAGTGTGTTTGATGACTGATCAGATGAATTTGAGACGCAGCAGCCGTGAGGGTCTGTGTGATGTTCGGTCTGTGTGTGTGTGTGTGTGTGGTTTAGTGTTGTGCCAGATTCATTTACAGACGCATGAGTCAAGTGGCCTGAGTCTCCTGAGACACACACACACGCACACTTATCGGAAACGCACACACATACACACACCCAGTCGATGGCTCTTCAAACAGTGGGAATAAACCGGAATAAACGCACCTGTAGTTTCTGTGCTGCTGGCGCCTCCTCTGGTCAAGTCAAGTAGTGTCGGTTTTTAACAACAAAGAAACTTTATTAAACCAAATATTTTAGAAATTTAAATACCTCCGTTTTCTCCGGGTGCTCCCGTCACACTTTAAAGACATGCAGTATAGGTGAATTTAAATAAGCTGAATTGGCCGTAGTGTATGAGCGTGAATAAGTGTGTATGTTTCCCGGTGTTGGGTTGCTGTTGGAAGGGCATCCACTTTGTAAAACAGATGCTGGATAAGTTGGTGGTTCATTCTGCTGTGGCGACCCCTGATGAATAAAGGGAATAAGCCGAAAAGAAAAGGAATGAATGAACAGTATCATTGTGTATTTAATGATCAATTCTTTCAACCAAGTATCTGATTTATTAGTTGAACTGTAATGTAGTTGAATTTAGCATTTTGTACATTCAACTTTAGCACTTATACCCTAAATCAGTGTTTCCCAACACTGTTCCTGAAGGCACAGCAACAGTACACATTTCCAACCGAATCAAACACAACTGAATCGACTCAGAACATCAGGCGAGACTGCAAAACCCAACATGAACGGGTCAGATAAAGGAGACACCCAAAATATGTACTCTTGGTGTGTCTCCAGGAACAGGGTTGCGAAGCGCTGTGCTAAAAACTGTAGTTATTTTCCATATAGACTGAATAACTAGTTTTGAATTGTAGTGGGCCGCTGTCTCGCAGTGTAAAGCTCTTGACAGTGTGTTCTGTGGATCTCAGCGGCGTCTGCTGATCTTTCCTCAAGCTCCTCCTGACTCCTTCACTGTTTCTCTGATGTTCCGGAAGGTTTCTCTCCTCGCTTTTTCTCTCTTTTTCTGTGGTTAATGAGGGCTGGAGTAAAACTGTGGCCCACCAAACACACACACACACACACACACACATACACACACACACACACTCACACAAATGCAATTAACTCAGGCAGGAGGAGCTGGCGGCTAATAAGCAGAAGACGCAGAGTCTGAATGGCCAAGCCTGCGAGCTGTTGGCACAATCTCCTGACCCGTTCACCGCTTGGGCCTCGTGATTACCCACAATCCCCCACTGAATGAGAATCACACAGGCGGAGCGACACAACTGAGCTGCGCTCCTCAAGATA